ATTTGAACAGCAGTTGATCCAAGAAAGCTTGGGTAATTTGGGAACATGGTTGGAGCATTCTGGTGTTCAAAACCACTCTAGAAGAAGAAATGTTTTTTCCCACCTTCATGGAGGAGCTGGAATTCTGTGTCCAAGAATTCATTCTAGGAAGAGAAGAAGAGGAAAACCCTTTGGTGAAACTGGTCATCCAGTTCCATGAGAATGGGTGGAAGAACAGATATCAGGCCATGCAGAAATTAGATGTGTTTTCTGATTAAATGAAATTAATATGCGTCTAGTATTGTCCCTGTCACTAAGATAAGAAAGAAATTACATTGAGAATACATGACTTATGAAGTGACGGTCTTTAGCATACAGGAAAAAATATAAAAAGATATATTATTATAAGCAGCAGTAATTGGACAATTCCATATAAATGAAATTTAAAATATGTTTTATGCAGTTAATGCTATTGTTGCCTTTGTCATTTGAAAATTTTAAATGCACACACAATTTTTTATGCTGATAGAGAGAGGGAGACCAAGAACTGACAGGTGCTGCTTTCAGATTTTTAAAAGTTTTTTAATAACTAATCACTAAACCAGAAACCTGACAATGTAGACACATTATTTTCAGTGTTCTTGCAGTCTATTTTTGAAGACTGACAAACTAGAAAATATCACATTTCTTTGTATCAGATAGGTATTCAGAGTTCAAGCTCATTACTATTTTCCTTTTATAAAAGAAACCAGACTCATTCTAACACCCTTGTCAGCTGTCAAAGTCTTCTCGTGTTTCTATTCATTGGCCCGGATAAAAGCCTCAGATAGGTCCATTAATTTCAGTGAAACTATGCAATTTATGCTTGCTTAATCCTGCTTGCTGCTGGAATAGTTCCTATTCAGTTTTTCTCCAAATTATCATCATTTCTGAAGAGAAAGGGAAGAGAAATAGGACCAGACACAGCATGACCCTTCTACCTCTAACCCAGACCAACATTTGCCTATATTATAGTTACATTTTTTTATTTCCTCCATGCACTTTCAGTGTTTTTTTTTCCTTTATACATATGTTCACATCTGCCCTCAATCCAGTTTTCTCACCATGACTCTTCTGCATCTGGCATTTCTGCCTGACCCATTACATGCATGTGGATAATTTCTTATATGTGGTATCACAATCTAATCTCAAAACTTAAACTTATTTTCCATGTCATGCTTATGGAATTTATTAGGAGGGTATAATTCTATATTGATATAATTTTGGAAATAGCAGAGCAACTTTATTTACTGATTTTTTTCTTTTTAGCAAATTATATTCACTAATATGAATACATTTAATATTATTTTTACTCTTTCTACCAAACTTTTCATTAGATGGACAAAATCATATGAATATGGAGAGTTAAAGTTAAAAGAGAGATATAACTCTGCAGGTCTGTAGTTGTACAAGTTATATTCAATAGCAGTTGATGACAGGACCTTAATCCTGTTGTTTGAAATTATTTTTCTGTCTTTTTATTTTTATTTGTCTTCTATTTTCTCTTCTGTGCATTTTATATTTGTATGTTTCTTTCCCTACTGTTCACATTATGTACATTATATGCAGTAGATATTAGAGCTGTACTGTCAATGTCTTTAGGTAGCAATCCATGAAGATTACCTTATCCACTAAATATAGTATGGATGGATGATTAAATGGAAAAGAAAGTGGTTGGAAGATCAGATCCAGAGGGCAGTCAACAGTTCAGAGTCCCAGTAAACATCAATAACAGGTGCTGTCCCTCAGGGATCCCTACTGAGACCAGTGTTTAATACCTTCAGTGATGATGTAGATGAAGGTGAGTGCCCCCTCAACAAATTTACCGACGGCACCAAGCTGAGTGGTGCTGTTGACACACCTGAAGGATGGATGCCATCCAGAGGGACCTGGACAAGCTTGATGGCTGGTCCCATGGGAATCTCATGAGATTCAACAAGACCAAGTGCAGTCTGCAGCTGGGGCACAGAAGCCCCCAGTACCAATCCAGGCTGGGGGATAAAGAGATCCAGAGCAGCCTGTCTGAGAAGGACTTGGGGGTGCTGTGGGTGAGAGGCTGGACATGACCCAGTCATGTGCCCTTGCAGCCCAGAATGACAAACGTGTCCTGGGATGCATCCAAAGCAGCGTGGGCAGCAGGGGAGGGAGGGGATTCTGCCCCTCTGCTCTGCCCCAGTGAGAGCCCACCTGCAGTGCTGCACCCAGCCCTGGGTCCCCAGCATGGGAAGGACATGGACCTGTTGGAGTGAGTTCAGAGGAGGTCACCATAATGATTTGAGGGATGGAGCATGTCTACTCTGAGGAAAGGCTGAGAGAATTAAGATTTTTCAGCCTGGAAAAATTAAGACATCAGGGTGATATAATTGCAGCCTTCCAGTACCTGAAGGGAGCCTACAAGAAGGGTGGCAAGGACCTTTTTACCTTGTAGGGGCAGGACAAGGGGGAATGACTTCAAACTGAAGGAGAGAAGTTTCAGATTAGATATAAGGAAGAAATTCTTTACTGGGAGGGTGGTGACGCCCTGGAACAAGATGCCCAGAAGAACTGGGGATCCTCACACCTGGAAGTGTTCAAGGTCAGCTTGGATGAAGCTCTGAGCAACCCATTCTAGGTGTCTTTGCCCATGACAGGGGGTTGGACTAAATAATCTTTAAGGTCCCTTCCCTCAAACTATTATATCATTTGTCATTAGATATAAGCAGAAAGTAAATAGATGAACTTCTAAGCATGCCCAGGCCAGTTCCTATTTACCTGATTCTAGTTTGACTATATTTGGTTTCTGCAAAGTACTTTGCTTACTGCCTGTCAATGACTTTAACACTGTCAAGGAATTCATTAAGAAAAAAAACTTCAGGCAATGTTTCCTGACATTTCATCTAATTTCATAACCAACTGCTGTTTAGTATTTACAAATATAATTTTCAGACCATTTGGGTGACATTTTAAATCACAATGTCAGAGCATGTGATTAATTGATTATGCAAAAATACCTGATAAAATAAAGATTTCCTTAAGTTTTCCTGAAGAGGCTGAAAGAAAGCAACCACGATGTTAACCTTTCATCCTAAGAGTCACTTTGGGCATTCTGAACAGGTTGCTAATTAGGCCATCAAAAGTACAGGGGTTCACTTGTCAGACTTCAAGGTTAAAGACATTCTAGATGACAGACATAATTTTGGCTACCTCAGGAAATAAAAATGTTAACCAGCTTCACTGATTTTAAATTGCTGTTGACAGGATCTGAAAAAAAACACTGACCCTTGTCATATTGAATTCATCTGCTAGTCAGGCAAATGCTCATGGATGGGAAGACTGACACTGTTCACTGTCTTTGATGTGTCTAAGGTTGTAGTGTGTGAATATGTGCAGGGCTTTTACAAGGAGGCACTGAGAATACAAAAGATTTAAGAAGGTTGTGAAACCCTGTAAGCTGGCCTGTTTCTCCAATTGTCATTTGGCTTAAAAATTCTTTACTTGGCTTTCTCTTTAATTAATGCTGCTGTTCAGGAACATAGTGACTTACAAGTACAAAACAAACACTGGACATTAGCTGAATTCTTGCTTACAGACTTTGACTTTTCTGAGTTATGAGAGATAAAGATTTACCCTATTCCCATATCACTAACAATACATTTTTTTTTCTTTAAATTTTTGAAAAATTTAAGGAAACACTATCTACAAAGAGAAGAAATTGCTAAATTTTTTTTGTGTGATAAATATAATAATAATTATGTGATTGTTTTTCTTCCTCCTTTTTCCCAGCTATCACTTTGTCATTGCTGCCAAAGCCCCACAAGGAACAGTTCTATCTGAAATCCCTCTAATTTCTTTTTTTATCCCAAATTACGTCTCTCTGCTTTTTTAATTTTATTAATCATCTCCATATTATAAGCAATACTTATTTATAGTATGCCTATAAATTTTAAACCACATTTTGGATCCTCTGATGCTACACTTAGCTGCTGTCAAATATTTGAAACCTTTAAAACAACAACATATAGAAAAAATACTAAAATCCACATACAATGAACACTAACAAGCAGGCAGAGAGGTTGTTCTGTGACCCAGCACAGAAAGGCTGCTGGTTATGGTACATAGAGTAACAGGACTTCAGCTGAATGAAGCTGAACAACCCTCCACAACCCAGGAGGAAGAGTTAGCTACCAGTTGATTTGGGTTGATATCTCAAAAAGAAGCAAAAGAAACAAATTTTGACATCAGCTTTTTAAGTTATACCTCACAGAAAAGAAATATCTCTTTCAGCACATACTTTATCAAAAGGTTTTTTTGGTACAAATGGCAGAAAAAACTCAGGATTGTGACACCTGAATAGGAAGACACAAGTCCCAACATCTCAAAATTGGGCATTTAGATCTGAGAGCATGAAAGGATTTCATTTACACTTTCATGGATGTGATTAATGTAATAAATATATATAATTAATTAAATACTTCCGTGAAAATAATGCAGCCATGATATACTGCAGTGTAAAAAGACCTGATCCAGGGAGCAGCTGACTCAATAGCTCACTGTTTCAGCACCTCACCTCCTCTCATCATCTTGAATGTGAAATCCTTTTCCTAAAGGCTTCAATTCCATTGTAACCAAAAAGAAAGCTTTCTATAGTTTTTCTGGTTTATTTTCTTGGGTCATGTAAGTGTAATTGGCTCCCTAGCAAAAGGAATGAGTGCAACTAAGAGCAGATGGAACATGAGGGTATGACCTCCTCATTCTGAGAATAATAAGTTGCTGGATTTGTTTGCCATAAATAGGGTTTAAATCTGCAAATCCAACATTAGTATTTCCCCTGCAGATTTTCAAAGGCAGAGTGTAAAATCCTTACAGCATTTTGGGGGCTAAATGTTATTGTTTGAGAGCGAACAGTTGCAAGAAAAAATGTCTACTTCATCTCTTGTGCTCCACTTTTACTTTAAAAAATACTCTGAAAATATATACCATAAAAAAGTAATAGAACAGGAGATCATAGTGTTATTCTCTTTATTTCAGCTGTTCACAACTTTTGATCATGCTTCAAACACCGGTTAGCATGAAGTGAAATACCAGTGATCAGAAGTTCGCTGACCCAGTGATGTATTAGCCAAGTCTCATTTGAAGTGTGCCAGCTGGAACATGGCGCATTTTCAAGATGCCAGGCATGCACAAGTCCATTACTGGAGCTGGAAGGGCTACTCTGTTGTACCTATGTAAGAGCAAAAAGGTCAAAACTTGAGTCACATCATGGGGTTACAGGCTACTGTCATCAGGAACACATTATGAAGATGCACAGAGTATCAGTTTCAGTCACTACTGCAACAGGCATATGCTATTTTATAATTAAAATATTAATTTTAAAGCCTTATTTCTGCCAGTTCATAAGGCAGAAAATGTTTAAAATAAAGATAGATAGTGGTAGAACTAGTAGAAGTAGATATGTTAGCTATCTCTTGAGATGGAATCTTTACTTTTGTGTGATGGCTCTCATGCTTTTGGACATTGCAGTTTCTTTAAAAATTCTGTGGGGTTTCCAGCCACAAAACATCTCATTTATAACTGCTCTGTAGACACAGGCTTGGTTGAAAATGTGCTGCACTTGTTGAAATTGTCTTTGTTTCTCTATAAAACTAGGGAATACAAGATTCATCATATCAATGATCTATACTGTACAAACATACAGAAGAAGATTAAATGACCTCTAAAATAAAATAATCTTTCTTCATTTCAAAGGATCTACTGAACTTAATTCCCGAACAAGTATAGAAAACAATGTGAAATTACAGTTTTTATCATTATATAGTTGCATAATAGTAAAGTGAAATAGAATGTGCTGTCTGAATTAGATGGCCCACTGTTGGATAATATGCACATACTGTGTAAGTGTTCAAACATATACCCACATACATATTTTTTTAATTTTTCAAAATACTGCATATCATAAGGTATTTTAAAAAATGCAAGTAGAAGAAATTCTTCTTATTGTAAATAAAATAACAGAAGAAATATTTTCTTTGTCCTAAGCATATAGTTTTTCATATTTAATCCTTTATCTGGAAATATTACATATTTATAGGCTAGGTTTATATCTGAAAATCGAATAAATTTAAGACCATAGATAACATTTCTAACTGAAGTACCAATGAAATAAGACATACAGTTTTTAATGTTATTTTTAAGGCTTCTATTCAGAAATCACAGAATCACTGAATGGCTTAGGTTGAAAAGTCATCTAGTCTCTGGGGGTCATCTAGTCAAACTGTACCACCTGAACAGGGCAGCATGTCCAGAACTGTGTCCTGGTGGCTTTTGAATATCTCCATGGCCCAAGATCCCACCACTTCTCTGGATGACCTGTGATAAGTCACCCTCATTGAGAAAAGGTGTTTCCTGATGTTCAGTGTTGTGATCTTGTGTTCCAGTTTGTGCCCAGTATCTCTGGTCGTGTGACTGGACACTGCTTTAAAGAAGCTGTCTTTGTCCAGTTTGTAAGCATAAATAAGATCCCCGTGAGCCTTCTCCTTGTCACCCTCTGTTGGACTCTCTCCAGTACCTCCATATCTCTCTTGTACTGGGGGGGTCCCGTCCTGGTCCAGTGCTGAGCAAATGTGAGGAAAATGATGTAAGGATACTCATGTCAGCTAGCTGGGAAAGGAAAGAAGCCGCAAGAAATGTCTCAAATTTACATCCTTTTCAGAAGGGGTTAGAAGGATCTGAGTCACTTATTAGTGGACAGAAATTTAATGGGGGCATTGAACATGCTGGCCTTTTACTACCTGAATTGGTTTGGCACTAGGGAACTTTTGAAAGAAGTGGGAGAAGAAAAATACAAGTTTTTTACTTGATTCAAACCAAGTAAAAAATCTTTCTTATATCATGTCCTCTGACCTTTTATTACAAAGAAGACAAAAATTGTTCTCAACTTTTCCACTAAGAAAATAATTTTGATATATGGAGATAGCACCTTTTTGTTCCACTTTTGAGAAAAACTTTCCTTCCTGTGTGATTTGAAAGCTTTATAATGAAAGTGAATGTGAACTACTCTGTAAAATATGATCAGTTGTCCATACTATGGAGAGCACAGTAATTTTCTGTGGGCAACTTCCCCTAGAACCAAAAATAAATGCCCTGCTAGAATAAAGATAAAAGCTTGTGTAGTGGCTGTATGTATGAAAACAAGCATCTGTGGCATACAGGTGTAGAAACTCCCTCTGCAAGAATTTAGCAAAGAAAAACATGATGAACTCCTCTTTATGCTTGTCAACATCACACTGTCCCTTCCAGCAAATTTCTGATCTGCAGACTGGGCTGTAGCACTGCAACTCTTTCCAGTCAAGGAAGAGCCACTCCAGGGAATACCCAAAGCCACAATCTTTACTATTACTGCTCTTATCACTACTGTTACTACTGCTACAGCTACTGCTGCTGCTGCTGCTGCTGCTACTATTACTGCTGCTGCTTCTATTTTTATAGCTACTGCATTTTCTTTTCTCTAAAGGTGGAAAATATCTTGGTTTTATAGCACTGCCCCATCTGGAAATGTGTCCTTTTAGACCTCTGCAAGGAAATTTATCTCTGCTTATGTGTACCCCCATTCCAGGAGGAATTGCATTGGGTTTGTCTCCTGTTGTAAGAGTAGCCATGTCTCTTTTCTGAAACTCCAGAGTTTTTCTTTCTGGGCCTCTCTTCTTCATCTGTTTAAAGGAGTTGATCATATGTTCCTGATTCACAAGAATCATGTTAGAAAAAATAGTCTTATGAAAACAGGGTTTCATGTTCAATAAGGGAGAAAATATTTTAAAATAAAGAATTATAATGACATATACTTTTCTTTTTTAGTAATTCATCTGGAACTTAATAGGGCATATATTTTGCTTAGAACATAGATTTTGAAAAATAGCAAATATTTTTTTCAGAGAATCATCATCATCATCACAGATGTACATATCTATAAAGTATAATAAAGACAAAAACATCAAAATAGATAAACAATAGCTAATGTTTTAAATCCAAGTGGAATATGATATTCCTTGACACTAATATGGAAGCGTTAGTGCCATTCCCACAGCATGGGAAAACTGTTTGTTTACTTCCATTTTGTATTTCCCTAAGGACATTTTCCTCCACTAGTGTAATTAGGATGACATTTGGAGCTGCTGTATTTCAACACAAGAGCAAGAGACACTGTGCAGCTTGACAAGAGATTATGATGTCAAGTCAATTGCTGCAGCAATATCAATATTTATTCCCTCGTTCCTTGTGTTTTGCTTTATTTTTGTTCCTATTTTTCTATTAGGTATAAAATAATATCTAAAACTTTTCCTATTGTGCAGGATATTTGTTTTTGTTCTAGACATCCTTGCTTTACCCTAGTTATTTTTAATCTTAAATCCTCTCCTTTCTCAAGTAAATAGTAGTTAACTCTTTCAGTAGTGCAATTACTTTCATGGAAAGTATTCTCAATTGATCTAATACAACATTCCAAATAAGTTCTGTATCTTATTTCATCAGAGAGTGATCTCAGAACTATATTATGTTTTGAGTTTTAATTGCTGCACTACTGGTGAAAACATATTAGTTCTATGTATCCATTGTATTCACCAGTAGTGAAGCAATCAAAACAAAAAAAAAGTGTAATTATTTTATAGGTACTGAACTCATTAGAAATGTTGCACTTGATGCATCCAGTTGCATTCTTTAACTAAGAAATATTTACCTGCACCATGTAGCATTACCTGAGATTCCTGATAGTTTGTTTTTGCGAAAAGTAAAAGAGTGCTCTGGTTAGAACCTTATCCATATTTTCTTTTTATAGTGTAGCAGATAAGATTTACTCTGGAGTGGAGTCAGATTAACAGGCACATATCCTGATGAGCATTTCAGCACTGTTTGTGTGTAATAATATCATAACAGCAAAGCACAGCAGCTCAGATACTAGAGCTGAGAGCCAAGAGTGAAGCAATTATGTATAATTGTTATTAGTTTAGACTGATTAATTTTCTATGTGCCTGATTTTGTTGTAGAAAAGTATATTTATGTTCAGCAAAGCTTTTTTCTAAGATAATATTACAATTGCTTAGAGATATATGTCTGTCTCTGTATAAACAGATTATCTCCTACTGAAGCACAGTATCATTGATAGGATTATTTTTTAAATGGATCAGAAAATCAGTCTCTTAATTTAAGGATCTGTTGAAGTTTGATGCACAAGGTCTTGCTTGAGAATTGTATTTATTTCTCTGTAACACTGCCAGGAATGTTTTGGATGTATGATCTGGTTAACTTCGCATGATGTTGCTAGAGTGCAGTGTCCCTTCCAGCCTTGATTTGTGCCCCTGAGCGTTTCTAAGACATTTAATTGTGATTCATAATCCTTCAACTTCTATTAAGAAGGCATAATATTAATATAAAATTAATTTATATTTACTAGTAAAGATAAGGTAAGTATCAAAGGGAATAATGTTATTACCTCTAGTTACTCTATGTTTTTTACAGGTATTTATTGTTGCCCTATTCTAAAGTGACCTTAATGTCTACTGCACTTTTTATCAGTATAATTAGCTGTGTAATCAGTATAAAAAGCTGTGAAATATTTGAGCTTCCCTGAAATTAATGATTCTAATTTCATGTTTTTAATTTTGTTTTTTACTTTTTTTATCACTTAGTTCACATGGGGGTCCAGATAATTGCTGAAAATTGTATTTTTTTAATAATAACTTATTTATGCATAAGAGAGAGAGAAAGAAAAGGCACAGGGAAGGAGAAGACAGTGGGGCTCTAAAGACTTATACTACACTGTGATTTATTCTAGAGGAACTGGTGCTAGTAGAAAGACACACTCAAACAGGTGTTTACAAATTTAGTCCAGTGAGGCTGGTCTTCCATTATGCTCATTAGAAAGAAACACCTTACAAAACACATCTGGAATGGTTAAAAATGGTCTTGAAAGCAGGCAAATTTGTGCAGTCAGAATATGCTGGTTGTCTCCAATGCCTCTGGCAAATCAGGCACTTCCACAGGCTTATTGTGTGCTGTGAGGACAGCAGTTCACTCATTCATGACAGCCTTGAGGCAACCCAGCTCACCCTTTTTAGATAAATTGCTTAAGATGTGTCCCATAAACCTGTGGAGACATCTGTCTTTCTCTATTCAACAGTTATATTAAATGCACCATGAAATCTTTCACAAATTTAAGAGGTAGTCAGAAAA